TTTTTTTTTTTTTCCTGTAAAGTTGCTGATATGGACTTTGCCAATGACCATCTTAAACTTGGTACTTCTCACAGGATCAGGGTAAGATCACAGAAGAGATGTGGATGCAGGGGACCTGGGGAGGACTCTAGAAAAAAGTCCTGCCAAAAGCAGGGTCACCCCAGGGGTCAGCCCAGCCGCTCACGGCTTTGTCCAGGTGAAGCTTGAAACCCCCAAGCACAGAGGCAGCAAAAACCTCTGAGGCAGCCTGTCCCATTGCCAGACTGTCGTCATGGGGGAAAAGTTGCCCCTCATCGCTAGCCTTGACTCCCTAGTTTCAGCTGATGCTGGGCAGCTGTGGGGGCAGACGACCCACTGTGATGTCACCATGTGGTGGATGGTGATGTCACCGGGTGACAGACTGTGACCTTGCATCCCTCGCTGCTTATCTTCAGGTGCCAGCAGAGCCTGGCCCAGCCTGGCTCCTGCCTGGACTCCTGCCGAGCGTTGGCTGCGAGGTCTGGAGTGTGGAGCGAGGTTTCTCCTGGTGCTGGGTGGTGCTTTGGGTGCTGCCATCAGCAGCTCTCGGTACCTGTCCCGGAGCCATCCCCTGTGTTTCCCTGGCCCTGCCTGGGTCAGGAGCCATCCCCTGTGTTTCCCAGGCCCTGCCTGGGTCAGGAGCCATTCCCTGTGTTTCTCCGGCCCTGCCTGGGTCAGGAGCCATTCCCTGTGTTTCCCCGGCCCTGCCTGGGTCAGGAGCCATTCCCTGTGTTTCCCTGGCCCTGCCTGGGTCAGGAGCCATTCCCTGTGTTTCCCTGGCCCTGCCTGGGTCAGGAGCCATCCCCTGTGTTTCCCAGGCCCTGCCTGGGTCAGGAGCCATTCCCTGTGTTTCTCCGGCCCTGCCTGGGTCAGGAGCCATTCCCTGTGTTTCCCCGGCCCTGCCTGGTTCAGGAGCCATTCCCTGTGTTTCCCCAGCCCTGCCTGGTTCAGGCAGCCGGGCACCGCAAGACGCGCTTGCAGCAGCGGAGGTGAGCTGTGGGGGACACGTCCCCCCGGGGTGGCTGTAGGGTGGGCAATGGGGCTCAGGGAGCTGGGAGAGTGTCCTTCTCCAGGGGCCTGGGCATTTCTTCCTCCCCTCTTGGGGACAGTGAGTGACTGTGGCCTCTCTCCATTTTGCAGCATCTGACGCCAGCGAGGGGGAGCAGCTCCTTGTCCTTGCTTCTCCCCAACTCCCTTTGAACCACAAAGGTGGCCATGGAGACAGAGTGGAGCTGCCCCATCTGCCAGGATGCTCGAGATGACACTGCTTACACTATGCCCTGTCACCACCAGTTCTGCCTGGGCTGCATCCTGCGTTGGATAAGGGTGAAACCAGAGTGTCCGCTCTGCAGAACACCAACAGAGACTCTCAGGTTTTCTGTGCGGGAAGAAGATGACTATCTGGAGTTTGTCATCACATCCCCTGAAGAGTCTGCAGATGCAAGCAGCCATGCAGGAAGAGGTCCCGGTGGCCTGGCCGAAAACAGCCCCCATCCCCCTGTGGCATCCCCTCCCTCTTCTCCACAGGGGATACTGTCCCCAGCTGAGCAGGGGGCTGCAGGGACAGATGCTGGGGCTACCAGAGGTGGCCTCCTGCCCGAGGTCTGGGCAGAACTTCTTCGAAGTCACCAGTATCTCCTCAACCCCGTGCTGCCTTGGCTGCGCCAGCAGCTGGAGGCGATTTTTGGGGCCCGGTGGTGGGAGACGAACAGTGCAGAGAGCTGCATCCTTCACGCCCTGTGCCTCTATGGTCTGGATGAGCAGCACATGGTCCAGGTGTTGCAGGAGTACCTTGAGGAACATGCAGCACCACTGGTCCATGGTATCATCAACACCATCGTGTGCCGGTGCAGCGAGGAGGCCCGAAGGCTGCTGCGCTCCCACGGTGCTGGGGAGGAGGCCGACAGCCCTGTGGCCAGCACCAGCTCCACCATCCCCAGCTCCAGCAGCACCAGCCCCACCAGCTCTTCCTGGGGCAGTCCTGCCACTGACCTGGCCTCCTCCACCAGCCCCACCAGCTCCTCCTCGGGCACCCACCAGCTCCTCCTGGGGCAGTCCTGCCACTGACCTGGCCTCCTGCACCAGCCCCAGCCCCACCAGCTCCTCCTGGGGCAGTCCTGCCACTGACCTGGCCTCCTGCACCAGCCCCAGCCCCACCAGCTCCTCCTGGGGCAGTCCTGCCACTGACCTGGCCTCCTGCACCAGCCCCAGCCCCACCAGCTCCTCCTGGGGCAGTCCTGCCACTGACCTGGCCTCCTGCACCAGCCCCAGCCCCACCAGCTCCTCCTGGGGCAGTCCTGCCACTGACCTGGCCTCCTGCACCAGCCCCAGCCCCACCAGCTCCTCCTGGGGCAGTCCTGCCACTGACCTGGCCTCCTGCACCAGCCCCAGCCCCACCAGCTCCTCCTGGGGCAGTCCTGCCACTGACCTGGCCTCCTCCAGCAGCACTGCAGGCTCCGATGTGGAGGAGGAACTCAGCGTGTCAGAGGCCGCACTCCGAGGGGGTCCCAGCTGCCCCCCATCTGCGCCCGTCCGTGCCGAGCAGCAGCAGCCCCAGGAGGAGCCGGGGCAGGCGGCGGCGGTGGCAGGTCCCTCGGCTCCCGGCCAGGGCAGGGACCACTCGCCCGGGGGTTCCCGGCGCCGCCTAAAGAGGAGAGCCCCCAGCCCCCAGGACCCTGCCCAGCCCTGCAAGAGGCCGCCCCACCGGCAGCACTAGCACTGCTGCAGCAAGTCTTCGCTGAAGAGAAAGACAATAAAGTCCTGTTTCCCTGACACAGTCTCTGGGTGCTGCTTTCTCCCCCTTCTCCTGGTCCCTTTCCCTGACCCCTTGGCCTGTGTTGGCAGGGCCTCCTCCCACAGGAACTCCTGCTGCAGATACGGGAATGGAAGAGGTTGTGAAAAAGCACTAGGGTTGTGCTCATAGAGGAGTATTGAGTGAAAGACTGAGTGGACATTCCTCAAGCAGGAAGAGGAAAACTCTGATAATGCCTAACACAAGTTCTGTAGAAAGCATTAGTGAAAAACTTAACAGTTTGCTGACGTAGAACTAGAGGAACTGTACAACCTGAAGACCAGTTAGAGTTCATTTAATTACAGGGGGGAAAAGACCTATGCATTAAGGTGAAAATGAGTATTATAAAAGGAGGGCAGTAAGAAAGGGAAAGGTAGAGCAGCTTAGGGATAGGACAAGGAGGTAGTACCAGAAGCACTGCTTGTATTTTGGGTGATCCTGTTGTTGCAGTGCATGAAGAAATTACTACAGGCGGTTGAAGAAGGAAGGAAATGGTAATAACATTTAGCAGGTCGTCTTTTTGTTTCTGATGCTTCTCTGGAATCTCTAAGGTGGGTGATTCTAGACAGAGAAGGTTCCTTCAGACCTGGTGCAGCAAGCAGCAAGCACAGTAACTAAACAGGTAGTTACTGTCCTGTCGTGTGCTCTGGGCAGTTGACCCTGTGTTGCTGGCTTAGCTGATACAGCGGGCTGCTGCGAGCCCCCGTGGTCACCCTGTTAGATGCGTCTGAGCTGTCTGCAGGCACGATACAGCAGGGCTGCAGCAAGTCTTCAGTGGAGAGAAAGAAAATAAATTCCCATTTCCCTGACACAGTCTCTGGGTGCTGCCTTCTGCCCCTTCTCTAGCTGCCCTTCCCTGATCCCCACACCCCACCACAAGCCAAGGCCTCCAGAGTCAAAGGACAATGCCAGTGGTGTCTGCTGCTGCAGAAAATCCTCCTGCAGCCATAGCTATAGAAAAGGACTGGAAAAAGCCTGAAAACCGAGGAGTGCCTTTGCAAAGGGGACGGTGCCAATAAAGGCTGCTGGTGCCCATGCCCAGGCGCAGCGAGCGTGCTGCTCCCTCCATCGCCTTTCTTTCTCTGCTACCAAGGGGCCAGGAGGGGCCCTGCAGCCCCCTGCTCGCAGGGCTTTGCAGGCAAACGGGCGGGCGGGCCTGGCCCTGCCACGGGGGCTGCTGGGAGCTGCGGTGGGGCTCATGCTGTGGCCTGGCTGCTGTGTGTCTTGGCCATGGAGCACTGTCAGCCTGGGGTGTGCGGTGGAGATCCCCTGTTCCAAAAGGCTTTGCGGTCCTGCCAGCAAGGACCTGCACTCGAGGAGGGCCTGGGAAGGCAGCACTGCTGGGGAAGGCTCTGGCTAACGCTTGCCAAGGGGCTGGGCTGTAAGGAGAAATGGGCTTCAGTGATGACACTCCTTAGAGGAGCCTCTGGCTGACTCTCAGGAACTGTCCAGTGGCCTCCTGGGTAGCAACAGTTATTGATTCAGGAAAGAGAGAAACTTCTGAAAGTGAAGAAGCCCTTTTTTGCCAAGGCAAATGACAGCAGGAAGAAGAAAGCTGTGACCTGGAGGGGTAACAGAGCACTGGCAGCAGCAGCAGATGTACCTAAGCCAGACCTGTGTCTCTCCAGGGTGTCTCTAATGGGAACGCTCCTACTGAGTAGCTTCCTCAGTGTCACAGCTCGTGGCATTGGGTGCACCCTCAGCAAGTTTGCAGATGCTGCCGGGCTGAGTTCTTGGAATGTGGGGGTTCCTTTGGACAGTCCGGAGTCCAGCTCGCACGGGAAAAAAAGAAAATAATTGGGTATCTAATCCTTTCCTGAGGCTAGTGTTGCTATCTTGATGCTATGTCTCCTTCAGTCAAAACTGAGGTCAATGTCCCACCTTCCTTCACTGCCAGCCCACCTAGGTGCTGTGTGGCACAGATTTGTCTTCTGATACCTGAAATTTCTCGGGATTCAGTTTTACCACAGAGAATAGAACGCTTTACGCACAAAAGTGAGTTCAGGAAAACTTGGGGTTATTATTGTTTGAGCAAGCACCTACACAGCTAAGTAAAAAGGTTTTATGTCCAAAACCAGTGCCTTAAGTTAGTTTGTGCTGGTTATTAATATTATTCTCATTGTATCCATTTAGACATGAATTAGTGCAGCCTCCAGATTGCTTTGCGGAATTTCAGTGAATAATGTGGTGGATGTTCTCATGTCCTGCAGAAAGGTCAAACCACAAGAAATCTGTGGTTTTGACCTTGAGTGTGAACTGCTCTGCAGTCCCCTGTGAACTGCTGTGCAGTCCCTGTAAGGCCAGATGACTTCTTCCCACCTCTCCAGGTAAATAAAGAGTAAAACACAGTCCTGGACAAAAGAGATCATGGTTCAAAAGGAGAGAAAGAGAGGCTTGTGAATACAAAGTTGTCTTACAAGGTTCACCGTCAACAAGTTGGAAGCCCACTCCCGTATCCAAAAGCATAGATAAGCATTTCTAAAAGC